AGTAATTCATTTTGGCTGACTTGCTTAAAGAATTTATTTTTGGCTTCCCTTGTCACTGCTATAAGTCACTTAAGCTTCATTATTGTACCCAGATCATAATTTTTTTTAAATGATCAGACTCAGAATGCACTGTTACAAAAGTTTGATGTGAGGGGGCTGGTGCTGTGATGCATCTGGTTAACAGCTTGGCCTGAGGCGCTGGCATCCCATATGGGCACTGGTTCGAGACCCAGCTGCCCCATTTCCAATCCAGCTCTCTGCTATGGCCTGGAAGAGCAGTACAGGATGGCCCAAGAACTTGGGTCCCTGCACCCATGTGGTAGACCTGGAAGAAGCTCCTTGCTCCTGGCTTTGGATTGGTGCAGCTCTGGCCATTGCGGCCAACTGGGGAGTGAACCAGCGGATGGAAGACCTCTCTGTCTCTCTGCCTGTCTTCTCTCTGTGTAACTCTGACTTTCAAAGAAATAAATAAACCTTAAAAAAAAAAGAAAGTTTTGTGTAAGATATGAGTTAGTGTGTCAAGTCCACAGCTAGGCTTAATGCTAATGGCCCTGAACCCTATTTGACTCATGTGAGGTGAAAAAGTTCCTTAGGCTGATATCCGATGTCTCTCCCAGGTTGAAAATTTCAGAATTTGGCATTCACCAAAGATATGTACTTTAGGTTTCCCATCTTAAATATCTGAAATCCTTTGGTGCCAGGTACATTTTAAAATTCAGGAAAAAAAATTCTAATTGAGATTCATAATATGTCCAATGGGATCTAGGGCAGCACCTTGAAATTCAAATACTTCTGCAAAGCACGCTATGAATATTCACACATATGAAGACTCTAAATAGCCTCATATCCATGCAGATCACGTTTTGTTGCCAAATTAGTTATATAAACATCTCTGATATTCTAAAATTTTAGGCTTTCAGAATTACAGAGGAAGTATCCTGGATGTATCAGGTTGTAGGTTTTTACCACCATGTTGCCAGAGAAAGCTTGTTTCAACACTCACCAGAGAGCAAAACAGTGGTAGCTCACAGAAGATGTACAAGTCACCAAGGGAAATCAAAGGCTGTAACTCCTTTGATTGAGAAATGGTCTTAGTGATTTAAAGCACTCTTGGACTAAGCCTGGGGGAGGAGGTAGCCTTGAGATTAGTTCCGGCCTTACTGATTCTTGTTGATGCGAGCATGACCCATCACTAAGCTGATTCACACCGATTTCAAGTAGGGTTAATTGTTTTCATTAAAGTCAAGTGTCTTAATTAGCTCAAGCTTGACTAAAAATGTAAGAGAATTGATAGTGTCTCTCTGTAACAAAACCCTAAAATAATTTTCCCCAGCTTATGGTCATCTTAGTTCATTTCAAAACTGCTCTTTCTTGATGTCCAACAGTTAGGAGACACTGTGAACAATTATATGCCAATAAGTTGGACAACCCAGAAAATGGTGGATAAATTCCTGGAAATTTGTATCTTATAGGGGTCCAAAAGAACAGACAATTTTGCAGGTAGTGCTATGATCTTCATAAATGTACCTGGATCCTCAAATGCTAGCAGTTACTTAATTTTAATACTTTTAAGTTGAAGGAACACAGAAAATCATCAGTACCATGTCATGGGAACTAGAACATGGCCATGATTCAGTCTCTTGCTAAATTTGTTTAGAAAGCTGTTTGGCTGTTTGAGTAAGATGAGAAATCACCTTATTTCCATGGAAATGAATTCAAAAGTCATTGTTATACCAACAGCAAAAATGTGGAAGAAAGCTCACTCAAATCAAGCTCTTATAAAAATAAAACCATCCACCCATGTACCTTCATGTCCAAACTGAGAGTGGAGACGTTCTAACACTGCTCTGCTGCACTTGCTCCTTCCCAGGGTACTTCACTGCCATTTTTGAGGCACAGCACAGGTGGAGAGGGTCATGACTTCTTTCAGTTGGGTCAGGGAAGGTCAAAGGACATCCAAACAACTTGCGTCCACTCCGCCACTTCCTCTGCTTTGTCCTTTTCCCATCCTCTCTCTCCCCCATCTTTAACCCCAGTGCTCTCTGAAAATACTCCAAGGTTCAAGGGTATGCTATTCCTAGCTGAAGAGGACCCTGGAACAGAAAACTGCTTACATTTTTCATCACTTGTAGTCTCCTCCTAAAATCCTCACATTTTAAGTCCTGGATCTGTGCTCTGTCTTCTACCTTACTCCGGTTTCGAGGCACACCTTACGTTCTGGGTGGCTCAGGCAGCTGGTCTCAGCACCACAGGAGGGCCTATTCTGATCATCTCTGCTATCCCAAAACCAGGCCAAGAGGCTTCAAGACTCCACTGCACCCTTGCTCTTTCTCTGTGATGATGGCACTAAGGCTTGGCTGAGGACAGAAGACCATCCCTGAAGGCTGTCACAGAAGCTTTCCTTGGCCTGGCCCTGTGTACACTGGCTCAAGGACTCCCCAAGTTGGGGGTTGATACACAGGCCACATTTAGGTTGTTAGCAACAGTTCAACCAGAAGAGTCAGGGGTCTGTTGGCACAGGCACCAATGGTGGAGAATGAGTTTAGGTGAGTGCTGTGTGGACAAAATTTCATATTCCAGTAGTTAAAACTTACTACAATGTGTGAAAAAAAAAAACCCTGCATACTCAACCTGTGATTTCAGGTATTATAACTTAGCATAAAAAGCAATTTAAAAATACATCCTAATGTCAGTGTAAAGTACTAAGTCAATAGGATAACTTGTAGTGAGCAGTGATTCTGAAAATTAAGAAGGTGGCTGCATGTAGAGAAGTTCCCCCTACACTCTCCCAGGAGCTCCCTCCTCACCACAACCCTCCCGTGACTCCTAAGGTTCAAACTGCATCACGATCTATGTCATCCTTTCAAAGCAAGTCCATTCCTCCTCCTCCCAAAACACAGGCTACTGTGCAATTACTCATCCCTCTAACATGCATGCGGACTCCTCTCTCTGTCACACTTCCAGTCCAGGGCTCCAAGGGCATGTCCCACACGATGCAGGCTTGTTTCAGGTATGCCCTAGCCATGGTGCACCTCCCAGATCTGCTTTGACCTTGCCAGAGGTGTATGTGGCAATCTGTTGAGACGAATATAAGGTGGATGATGTCCCTGACTGTCCCCCTGTGACTCTGGGGACAGGAGCTAGCCATTGGGTTGGCTGTATACAACCAATACAAATCCCTGGTTACACAGATGCTCATCAGAACTGGCCTCTGAACTGTCTTTGAAAGCCAAGGTCAAGGACTCGGCATCAGGCAGCAAAGGATAACAGGAAAACTTAATGAAAGCTCCTGAGCTGACCTCCATGCTTTAACATTTCTATCTTAATTATGTGACACAATTTTTTGGATGAGTTGGGTAAAGCGACTGCCAAAAAGGAGTCGTCATTTCTGGATGGTTCTCTCCGTTGTGCAAATTTATGGTCAAGAATCCCATCTAGCAAGTTAGCTCATCAGTTATCTCAGAACCTGTTGGCAATTGGTTTACCCCGAAGGACACACCAAGAAATTCCAGGCATTTCTGGCTATTTTACTAACCTTTTTTGGGGGGTGGGGCTTGCTCTTAGGGGTCCTTGAGCACTTCATCTGTTTGAAATTAGCCCATGGTCTATGGAAGAGAACTTAAGGATTTTGACCGTCTCCTTGGGGGCACCCTGAAGTGGAAACCAAAAAGTACATATTCCTATGCCCACCCCAAGCCTAAATTTAGCAATGTGTCCACACCAGGGTCTGAGCTTTCATGAAAAGGGAAATGGGAAATCTCCGGATTAGCTGACCACAAATACACTTTCTAAAATAACAGTTATAGAAAGCAACAGAGCTCCAGGAACAAATAGGAAGTACACTACCCAGCTCACCTCCCTGCTGGTCAATTTTTAACAAGTCTGCTGGACACGTCATTGAAAGAGGACAGCCTGAATGTGACCCAGTCCATGGTTCCTTCTCCCAGACCCCAAACCCGTCACGGGCCAGCAGAGTGCACTGCACATGGCTGGGCCCAGGGAGCCACATCTGGGGCGGCATCAATCCACATGAGGGCGTCATGATGAAGGATGATGGAGGAATCCTGACGTACTCTGGACCTTCTGAGGCCCCAGCGCCTCATGTTGCTCAGGAAATTTCTCAACAGGGGGACTGATTCCTCTCCACTTGATCAAGAGGACTTCTTCCGATGGTGGATGCCATGTCTCACAGACCTGGGCACTCCCCTTTAGTGGTGGTCCCAGGAGCCTAAAGTTAGGTCTAGGCCCACCTGGGGTTATGAACAGGACTTCCTTGCCTGTGCGCTGAATATTCCCATTGCTGAGACTTCATCTCATCTTTCCTATTCACACTTTCTGCTGCAATGTCTCTCAGTCTTTTTCGTAAAAATAGTAACATACCTATCATGAGAATTTAAACGCACACACACACACATATATAAATTTCTTTTATCCTGAGGTTGGTACTGGCATTATCCTCATTTTATAGATGAGGAAATAGAAGCCCAAACATGTTATGAAAGGACCAAAGTGTTCAATCTTGGGTTAAATTTGGACTTGAACTCTGGCCTCTTAACTCTGAGCCCATGGTCTTCACCCGTATTAGTACGGTGGCTATTTGCTTAAAGATTTTTTAAAAACCATTTGTCTCATTTTTCCCACCATTTACTTGTTTCATTGTTCATTTTTAGTGGCAGAGCACAGTCACATAGAAGGTGACCAACTTGTCCATTACATCTCAGTTTTATCATGGAAAAAACCCATCTCCTAGGAAACCACTCAGTATCTTTAATGCAGTGTTGTTTCTCTTTGCTGTAGGACCAGGGCTGGTACCAACAGATATGTTTGTGTGAATTAGGAAGAAGGGCATTCATTTATTTTTAACAGAATTATTAGTATTGTAGTCAATGTACTGCCTTAATCCCTCATAGAAAAAGGTGGTTACAATGAAACAAAAATGCACAGCATACATCATACTGAACATTCTCAGAGTGACCGGTAAGTAGTGACACATCAATTACCTTTATACCCTTGCTCTGTCTCCCTGAGGTCAATTTTGGTTATCGGTTTGAAGTCCGTGTCCCATAACCGTATACAACCATCTCGCCCACCAGTGGCAAAGCCTTCTTCACACGCATACATGCTGAAGATTCCAGCCTAAAGATTAAAATCAGTCATGTTCAATGACCATCCTAAATGGTCATTATAGTTCAATCTGATGATTAACAAACACAACTAGGCCAAACAAAAAACTAAACTAAGGACAACTTGTTCTTTAATGAAATTTTGACAATGGACCGAGCAGCCATTTACAAAATCCTTCATCACAGTTTAGTCCCCAAGTAATCATAACCAGCAAAGCTAACTAGCTCCAGCATCCCTTTGCCATTACCAAATTTATGGTCAAATAATAAGTTAGGAGCACCTTGATTAAATCAGATATGGGCACCATCAGTTTCTTTATGTGGCGATTGACCTTTCTAAAGAAAAGACAACTGTGGAATGTTTCATATGAGTTGCTCTCCAAAGTAACCAAGTACAGATATCAGGCTAGAAGATGTTTTTTCCTCCCCACATCTCAATTCTTTTCCTGTGGAAGAGCATCTTTAAGTTACAAAATTGTTTTCTCTGGTTTGTTCCAAAGTGCTACAAGCATATAGTGTTGATGTAAGATTTGGTGTAAAGAGAAATTAGGACATTAAGGCAGCTGGTTTTGTGAATGAGGGCAAATACTGACCTTCTAATAGCTTTAAGAGCTCTTTCATAATTAGCAAGGCCCAGAAAACTGTTCTTCAACATACAAGATGATGAAAAATCTCAAGCTTCATAGCACTTTTGCTAAGAGTTGCTTAAGCTTTTCTTCGCAGTAAGAGCAGTAAGGAATCAATGTGAAGTCAGCTGCAGGTCTGTGAGGTTTCTGGTGACATTCTACTCACTACCCACTCACTACAATAGGTGCTACCTTTTACCTCATCTCCCTAGTGTCCCCAGCATCTTCATTTTAATCATCTACAGATATGACTATGTAACCGGTTTCGTGTTTATCGAAAGAGCCCAGAGTAATAAGAAGTTTGCACCTGTTTGTACTGAGCTGATTTTTAAGAGAGGAGGTTCTTCACGGTTTCTGTTTGCTGTTGATGAGTGACAGCCACCAGCCAATTAATAGTTAAGGTGAACATGAATAAAGTTACTATGCTTTTGAGATCTGTTTTTCTTCTAGGCAGACACAGATGAATTTGGGAGCTCTGATTCTAAAGCAATGGGGCAAAATACACGACCCAAACTTATGCAATATGTCACCTCCAAATTCCCATATGATCACACTCACACTATGTGCTCCTTGAATGGTGCGGACTAGATTGAGCCCTTTCCAGACGTAGATGTCGCCATTTAAAGCACCAGAGTAGGTGATGTCGTCTTTGGCACATGCAAGGCAAAGGATGGTCTGAAGATCCCCAGTTTTGCCAAATATTCCTCTTTTTGCGGTCAGGGCATTTCCACACAGCATCCAAAACTAGAAAGCGATAAAATCAACAGAGCTGAAGAGAGAGTATTCTGATGCGTTGCAGGATTGGTGTTTGTTTCAGTACATTTTACATAATTTACTCTATCTTAAATCAAGTAAATTAAATTATTGCTTGTGACAGTAGAGCACCACAAAATTTTTAGCCTACTACAAGGGACAGGAGAAACACTTTAGTGTATTTTAAATTTTCCAAGCTCCAAAATTTCAAATTTTTGCTTGTCATTTAAACGGTGATTTAAGTAGAAAATACCCAAATTCTCATTCTTGGACTAAAGGGGACAGATCATGTTTAATTTTTTCTTTCAAATTATCAAACTTCCAGAGGTTCATTTTAGAGAGGTCTAGAAATATTAAAAGGAAAGCTGAAATTATCTACCCCTTCCTGATAGCATGATGATATATCATCCAAGCATTTTTAAGGCTTAGTAATTACTTTCTAACTAAAAACGTTACCAATCTTTGCTGTCACCAGTTGACTGGGATTTCAGTTCTAGTTGCACAATTCATCATGTGGTAGGCCACAAGCATAAAACTGAGTTACTCAATGGCAGGCAGCAGAGACACTCTATGGGTGCACAGAAATAAAGTATGTTACTTTGCTGTAATTTTTAATGTATGAACTAGTATAACCTGCCATTATCAAGGCTCTTTGCATATGTTATTCAATCAGCATAGGACCCTTGAGAACAGGCCAGGGTGGATACTATTATTAACCCCGTCTAGCAGTAAAGGAAAGAAGGCGTAAGCAGCTCAGCGAAGGCAAGAGTTTAATAGGGTTATACATGAGAACGTTGAACGCCGCCTCGAGAACGTTAGCTCTAATGAGGCTACACAGGAAATGAGCAGAGACTTTTAAGGCCGTGTATTCACACTACACACAAGTGGCAAGGAAGTCCACAGAGAACTAAGTTCAATTAAATGGAATGAACAAGAGTAGGACTTTGATCAGTGGTGAGGGAGAAAGAACATCTTGATGCCGAAAAGCAGCACCAGACAACTCTGGTGGCAGGGATGTGAGGCGGAAAGTCGGTGACAACCCTACTACTTCACATCTGCAAATGAGGAAAATGGAGGTTCTCTCAGGGCAGCTGCACATTCAAAGAAGCATTCTGGGCCGACTGTACTACCAGGATGGCCAGGACTCAGGCAGCTATGGGAGAGAGGGGGTGGGAGGGCTGTTTTGTGGGGCTGCCTCAGTGTGCATGAGGCAGGACTGTACAGCCATTTAAGGCAATGTGCAATTCTATGAACTGTCAATTCCAGTAATTTCTTTCACTGAATATTATTATGCTTTTTAAAGTATTCAAGTATGCATCAAAAGAACAGAAAGATCTGGGGAAAGCTAGTTAGACAAAAGCTTCAGAAAACCCTGGAAGTTCAAATTTTTTAAGTCAATTAATTAGTTTAAGAGGTGGGCAGAAAGAAACATCTTCCACTCTTGGTTCACTCCCCAAGTGCCTGCAATAGCTGGGGCTGGGCTGAGGCTAAAGCAGGAACCTGGAACACAATCCAGTTCTCCCACATCGGTGATAAGAATCCAGTAATATGAGCCACCACTGCTGTCTCCCAAGATATGCACTGGCAGGAAGTTGGAATCAAACTAGAGCCAGGAATCTAACCCAGGAAAATGGGTGTGTTGGCCACTAGGCTAAATGCCTACCCTGGGCACATTCAACTCTGAAACCTGAATGAGCTTTCAGTCATAAGCAACTAGTAGTTGTGCAAATATGCCAAAGAACCTGCTGTTCATGGTGATGCTCAAGGCACCAGGATACCTGCTTTCTCATCATGTATCTTCATGGGTGAAGACTGTCTTTTAGTATAGGATGTGTGCCTTTGGCCTGAGTTAAACATTTCTAGGTGGACAACCAGAAAAAACAGACAAAATTATCCTCACATCTGATCAACACAAAGGTTTTGGGACAAAAAAAAAAAAATCACCCAGTCTAGCAGTGAAGACACTGGTTAGAACACCTGTGTCCTACATCAGAGTGCTTGGGTTTGAGACTTGGCTCCAGCTCCTGATTCCAGCTTCCTGCTAACGTAGATCCTGGGAGTCAGGCTCCTGCTACCCACATGGGAGATCTGGATTCAGTTCTGGGCTCCGGGCTTTGGCTGAGCCCAGCTCTGGCCATTGCAGGCATTTGGGGAGTAAACTAGTAGATGAGACCTTTTCTTCTATCTCTTTGCTTCTCACATAAATCAAAAATGATTATGCAGTCAGATGGTACAATGCTCACACAAAACATTCCCAATGAACAAATGAGTCTCTTAAAAGACACATGCAGATATGACACAGGTATGAGATTTGCTACAAAGAGTAACAAGTACCCAAAATACTATCTGTGAGAACCATTTCTTATTTGGAAAACACTGGCAGTTTAGGATAGGAAAGCCTTATGAAAGCCACATCAAATGAAGAGACATTGTTCTTCTCCAATGGGCCCTCACAGACTGTAATGCGAACTGTGCTAAAACTGGCAGGTATCTTGGAGTTCATCTGGCCTAGGTAATCCCCCAGCTCCCTTCCGTGTTTGCCTAGAGACCGGAGAAGGCACCACAGGACCCACAGACCTGGCAGGCTCATTTGCAGTAAAGTCAGTGCAGCAGATGATGTTCACTGTTCCTGTTTTCCTAGCATTCATTTCAGGTCATTGTAATTTGCCTGTCTGCCAAGCACTGGGAATCGGCGGAACCAGAGAGGATCTCAGCCTAGCTACAAAGATTTCACATAAAAAATAGTTTCTTGGAATGCAAAGATATCGCACTCAACTTCTGACTGGAATCATTCACTCAATGTCAAAGGCAGGCTTTGGAATAGAAAACAAAACAAAACAAAAACAGGAGGGAGGAATTCTGAAATTGGAAACAGCAAAGACAGATAATGAAAATAACTTACTGAAGCCTGTGTAAGCTCGTTGTGGGTTTACTTATAAAGAAAATTAATAGGGGCTGGCACTCTGGCATAGTGGGTAAAGTTGCTGCCTACAGTGCCAACATCCCGTATGGGTGCCGGTTTGAGTCCTAGCTGCTCCAAATAACTGATTAAAAGTTAGAGTTAACCAAGGATGGCAAGAAATAGGGAGGAATCAGGAGAATTCTTTCAACTAAGTGCCTCATCTAGTTACAAAAACACAAAACCAACCCAAAAAATGTGTTATTTTTTGGAGAAGAGTTAAGCCAAGACAGATCCTTAAGCTGATCATTTCTCAGAGGAAAGAGTTCTCCGGAGAGAGTCAGAGGCCAAGAAGGAATCTTGTCCCTACCACTGGCTTTGTGATCCTGGGAAATGGGGGAAAGAAGCTATTATCATTGTGCCCCTACTGGCTGCATACACTGTTTAATAGAGCTCTTGATAAGCTCAGGAGCTAGTGTGCCCTGAGATTCCTGGGGAGAACAAGTTCATTCTCAGGAAGATTAAACAGCTTGCCCAGCCACAAGCAGAGTGGAACAAAATCAAGACACAAAGTAACCCCTACCCCAAGTCTACCTCAGCTTCCACTCCTCCCCATGCAACAGGCAGGGTGGATGTTGGCCCCAGGTCATGCCCCAGACTTTCAGACAGCTGCCACCAACATCCTGATGGAAACCAGGCTCACCATGAGCTTGCATGTTCACTTACTCGTCGGTCAAAAGCCAACTCAGTGCTTCATAGCTCATGCTGATTGGCAGATATGCTTGTCTATTTTTGATTAATAAAAAAAGTTGCTAAGGAGATATTAGTTAATGCCTGGTTTATTTTCCAGCCCAAATCTTTCAAAATAATCATGGAAAGAGGTTTTCAGGAAACAAAACCATTAATAGGTGTAGTACATAGAATGAGCCACAGACCTTGCCAGCCTTCTAGGCCCCCAGCTGCTTGGGTGGCCACTGCCTCCCCATCAACTCCTGACGAGTGCAGCCCCTTCCCTGGGCTCTGCTGCCTGCCAGCCCCTTGCTACCAAACTCACCTGCCCAGCAGAGCTCTGAGTACACCAAATCCACTCCCTGAAACAGTGAGGCTCTAACCAGCTGGGATCTCTCCTTTGTTGATGCCGTTTTTGGCTCAGCCTCTCTGATGGAATATTCTGTTTGAATGGCTAAACTTCCAGCATATTGAAAATAGGCTCTGTTTTTGTCCCTTCACATAGTACAAACACAAAATCAGTGAGATTTTTGGTCTTTCGGGTCTGCTGTGTGAAGCATGGAAGGAGTCTCTAACTGATGCTAAACCACAAAGCAGCACACATAGAAGATATTTTCTCAGGCTAAAAATGAGGTCTTTGCACAAGGATTACAAAAAGTTTGCAAACCCCTAAGGCGTTGGTAGCACATCTTGTTCCTTTGAGTAGTGGAACCTCTACCATCATCTATTTTTTTAACTTAGTGTCCTCTATTTTTTTTTTCATATTTCTTTTTTAAGATTTTATGTATTTGAAAGTGAGAGTTTCACAGAGAGGCAGAGACAGAGAGAGGTATTCCATCCACTGGTTCACTCCCCAACTGGCTGCAACAGCCAGAGCTGTGCTGATCCATAGCCAGGAGGTTACTCTGGGTCTCCCACGCAGAAGCAGGGGCCCAAGTCCTTGGGCCATCTTCTACTGTTTTCCCAGGTCATAGCAGAGAGTTGGACTGGAAGTGGAGTAGCTAGAACACGAACCGCACCCATATGGGATGTTGGTACTGCGTGTGGTAGCTTTACCCACTATACCACAGTGCCAGCCCCTTCATATTTCTTTTGAAAGTATTAAATATTATCTCAAAATAATTTATGAATAAAATACAGAAGGGAACATTTTTAAATCACCCAGCAACTCACTACCCAGAGATAACTATCTAAAATTTGAGACTATCTTCCCAATGTATTTCCTATTGAAAAATACACTTTATATTTAAAATAATAAAAGTCACAAATTAATCCATTTAGAATTGGACTATAGGGTCCAGCGCTGTGGTGTAGTGGGTAAAGCTGCCACCTTCTATGCCAGCATCCCATATGGGTGCTGGTTCAAGTCCCAGCTGCTCTACTTCTAATCCAGCTCTCTGTTGTGGCCTGGGAAAGCAGTAGAAGATGATCCAAGTCCTTGAGCCCCTGCACCCATGTGGGAGATACAGGCTCCCGGCTTCGGATTGGTGCAGCTCTGGCCATTGAGGCCAACTGGGGAGTGAACCAGCGGATGGAAGACCTCTCTCTCTGCCTCTCCTTCTCTCTGTGTGTAACTTTGATTTCCAAATAAATAAATCTCTAAAAAAAAAGTGGACTATAAACATCCCCACTTAAATATATCTTGATTATTTTCCATTATTGTTACATAATCATCTAGAGCTTGGCTTACAATGATTGCACAGTATTTCATCATATGGATTATATCATATCTCATTTAACCGTTAGAGCACTTAGGTGGTTTTGGGTTTCCTTTTGATTGGTTTAATTGCTATTGTTAAGTTATTGACATCAAATGAGCTCTTGGTTCATAATCCTAACAATTTCCTTGGGATAAATTCCAAGCTATGAAATTACTACACCCAAAAGGATCAACATTTCTAAAGCTAATAGTGGATGTGACCACGTTTCTGGACCGAAAGACTTTCCCAACTTATCCCTCCGCAGCAGGATTTGCGAGTGCACATTCACACAATCCTTGCCTACTCTGGGAACTTTCATCAGAATTTGATAGATTCAAACATTCTGTTGTCTTTAAGTTTGTATTCCTTAATTATTAATGAAATTTAGCATGTTGTCTAGTAAGTTGACTTAATCAGCAATGTTTATTTTTGTCAGTCATCTATGTTATTTTTCTTTCTAGATTTGCTAACAGTCTCCATTTTAAGAATACACCATTATTTAATATGCTTGTTGCTTATATTCTGCTAGTTTGTAGCTTCTGTGTTTTGTTTTTATTTCAGGGCAGAAACAGGTGTCTACAGAAAGTTTTAATATTGATATAGTTGAATCTTTCAGTATTATCCTTTATGGTTCCTCTTTGCTTTACATTTAAACAGGCCTTTCTCCAACTTGAGAGCAGCTGAATATTTGCCTATATATTCCTCTAGTTATCTTATTGTTTTAAAACCTTTTACTCTTTAATTCATAGACTTTATTGTTTAGGATAAAGTAATAACTTTTCCCCAAAAATAGATAAATTTTTCCAGTGTCTACAAGTTAGAAATTCTCCTTTTGCATTCTAAATCGTTGTATTTACAAAGCCCTATTATTATTTTCAGTTTAAAAGATGGGCTCATTTCTCTTTATCCCGGTCTTATATTACTCTAATTATTTTAACTTCTGATAGGCTTTCATAAATAGTGGTGCATATACACCATTATTTTTCATCCTAAAGTTCTTAGCCTCATTCTTTCATCCCCCAGGATTAACTTAAAGAAAAATTCTGTCAGGTAATAACAATGACAACCAAAGTAATAGCCCTTAATTTACACCGAATATCATTTGGAGGGAAATGACTCATTTGCAAATTTTAGACATCATGTCCAGAATCAAGATTATATAATTGCTCAAGTTTTCTTCTATGTTTCTCTGTAAATTTTTATAATGTGCTTTAGGTAAATCTGGCATATTTCTCATATTTATTTCTGAGTGGTCTATTACCTGTCCTTTTCTAACATTTAGGTGGAAAAAATGGGCAGAATCATTAAAAATTAGACTGGAAGAACAGGGAAGCCAGAAAGGTAGGCTGGAGGCGTAACTTGGTACCCACTCCATTCACAGAAAAATGCGTCATTTTTGTACTAGTAGAGATCCTCATATTTGCTCTTCAAGAAGGTAGCCCTTACCTTTTTACTTGCTGATTTTAAATTACATTGACTACAATCCTATAGGCAGAAGATAATGGGTCATATGCCAGGGGTCAGGAGAAAATTTTGCTATGTCACTGCAAAGGATGTTGATACTTGCATAGGAAATCAGAAAGAGGCAAACGTGGGCCTAGCCAGAGGCAGGTTACGGTGCGTGGACAAGAGGAGCACAGGGGCTTTAAACGCCAATGGCCCAGGTTTGCAATGCATCGCTCTATTTCTACACTGAATAAAACGTGGCATCTTTCTTCTTGGAGAGCATCTCGATCTGCCAAAAAGAGGTTTGACAGGCAGCAAGTCTAAGTATTCATTAGGATGTGAATACCTGACAACACTGCCAGCAGACTGAAAACATGCAATTCTAGAGGCACGGAGTCTGCAGTGTGGGATTTGTTCAACAGCTTCCTTTAGCGGCCCCCCGCTGGATTCCTACTTGGCACTTCTCGGAGTCCCATCCGCTGAGGTAGTTTGAGAAACAGGCAAGAGGGCTCTGATTTTAAAGTGAAAAAAAGTCAAGCAGTCTCTCAGCACCAAGTTTTCTAGACAAACACCTCAAATTCCTCTCACACAAGAAACCGAAACATTTTTAAAAATAACAGCTTACCTTAATATGCTTGACTCCACAGCTAACCACTCTGTTCGGCTGATACGGATCCCAGGAAATATCAAAAATCTGTAAAAACAAACAAACAAACAAACAAAACGGTGCTGTGCTGATCCATTCATGTATTTTTTTCTTCCACCAGGTCCCAGTAACTGGCATGATTGTGCCCAACACTTAGAACACCATGTTACCTCACGGAATGGAAATGGAGCATGTGACCTGGGAATGGGTCAGGAACTGCCCACACATGCGTGATCGCCTCTGGTCCACTTACCTTGGGACTGAGGGGAAAGGCAATTAACACAATCACTGAGAACCAAGCCGAGTTTTAACCACTTTTTTCCATCTGGGGTAAAGAAACCTTTGACAATTTCAGGAAATTTTTAAACATACTTTGTTTAAGATTTCATTTATTTATTTGAAAGGCAGAGTTAGAGAGAGAGAGAGAGATCTTCCATCTGCTTGTTCACTCCCCAAATGGCCACAATGGCCAGAGCTGGGCTGATCTGAAGCCAGGAGCTTGATCAGGGTCTCCCACATGGGTACAGGGACTCAAGTACTTGGGCCATCTTCTGCTGCTTTCCCAGGCACAGTAGCAGGGAGCTGTATTGGAAGCAGAGCAGCCAGGACTTGAATTGGCCCCCATAAGGGATGCCAGCACTGCAGATGGTAACTTCACCCACTATACCTCAGTACTAGCAACAAAAGTGTTAATTAAACATTCTGGAGATAATGTTTCGATTTAAGTTATAAGAATTGTACACGTGGAGCTGGCACTGTGACCTAGCAGGTAAAGCTGTCACCTGCGACACCAGCATCCCATATGGGCACTGGCTCAAGTCTTAACTGTTCCACTTCCAATCCAGCTCCATGAAAATGTGCTACAGCTTCCAGTACTTGGGAAAGCAGAGGAGGATGGCCCAAGTGCTTGGGAACCTGCACCTATGTGGGAGAATGGGAAGAAGCTCCTGGCTCTGGCCTGGCCCAGGACCTGCTATTGTAGTCATTTGGGGAGTGAATCAGAGGATTAAAGACCTCTATGTCTCTCCCCCTTCCACTCCTGCCTCTCTGTAACTCTGCCTTTCAAATAAATCTTTATTTTTATTTTTTGACAGGCAGAGTTAGACAGTGAGAGAGAGACAGAGAGAAAGGTCTTCCTTCTGTTGGTTCACCCCCCAAATGGCTGCTACGGCTGGAGCTACGCCGATCCGAAGCCAGGAGCCAGGTGCTTCCTCCTGGTCTGCCATGTGGGTGCAGGGCCCAAGCACTTGGGCCATCCTCCACTGCCTTCCTGGGCCACAGAAGAGAGCTGGACTGGAAGAGGAGCAACCAGGACAGAAACTGGCGCCCTAACCAGGACTAGAACCTGGGGTGCCGGCGCCACAGGTGGAGGATTAGCCAAGTGAGCCATGGCACCGGCCCTCAAATAAATCTTTAAAAACAAAAAAGAATTGATTTTAACTAGGAAAATTCTTAATAGTCAACTACAGTTCAGTGAGGCCAGCAGTCTGTAGTTATAATTGAACATAAAGCAAAGGCATTTATTGGATGCTAATTAACCCACCTAAAATAGTCTTTAAAGCTATCATTTTAATATGACCCAATAATGTATTATATATTCAATTCTCCAAAGAGTTGAAAACAGATTCATTTATTGTGAATTATATGTCATTCCTATTTTTCCCCCCAACAGGTAGAGTTATAGACAGTGAGAGAGACAGAGAGAAAGGTCTTCTTTCCATCGGTTCACCCCCAAAATGGCCACCACAGCCAGAGCTGCGCCAATCCAAAGCCAGGAGCCAGGTGCTTCTTCCTGGTCTCCCATGCGGGTGCAAGGCCCAAGCACTTGGGCCATCCTCCACTGCCTTCCCGGGCCACAGCAGAGAGCTGGCCTGGAAGAGGAGCAGCCGGGACTAGAACCCGACACCCATATGGGATGTCAGCGCCACAGGCAGAGGATCAGCCAAGTGAGCCACGGCACCGGCCCCTATATGTCATTCCTTAAGACAACCTACAGAACAGTCTGCAGGAGTCCAGAATCCATTTTGGAGATGAGGAAGAGAGGACTGTCAACTGTTTGAGTCACACCATTGACAATGATGGTTTACAATGCCTATTTCCTGACCCTCCTAGAAACTCATTTGGTGAAAATGGAATGAAGACCAAACACCTGCACTTTTGAACTGAGAGGCAGATTCTGATGCGGGTGCTCCCTGGACCACATTCTATGAACCACAGACAGAAAAGGAAGGAGCAGTTGTTAGAGGCAAAATCTAGAACAGAGGAAAAATTCTAACTAACTCTTCATCACGTAGAAGAAAGCAATTATCAACCCCAGAAAGAACACTGAAGAGAAAGTACTTGGTCCAAACATCTATTTTAACTATCTGAGCTCAGGCAAGTCTGATTATCTTTAACTTTAATCTCATCTTTCAGAAAAGGATCATGTCACCTCCGTTCTGAGATCAATTAAGACAATGCAAGCGAAATCATTTTGTGGGCTACAAAGCACTCATTACACAAATGTGATGGGTTAAGCATTATATCCACTAAAATTATTCTGAAGATAATCTTGGAGTTACCCCAAAGTAGCCAAAAATTCATAATGACATCAAGGCAATGGTAATAAAGAGCAATACTGTGTGTGACAAACACTATGGGTTCTGAGAGAACATGTTCTCAAGTACTTGTTAAAATATCCAGTGCTCTTAAAATTACAGACTTCTCACTACTGTAGCATTGCACTTTTATACTCTACTCCTTACTGGAACAAGAAATAATTATAGTAGTTGAAATCAGACAGGCAGGTCACCTGACATTTTGCAGGGTAACCAAAATTCAATTTGTCAAAAATAAGAATTTGGCCAAGTAACAAACTGCAATCAGGCAGCCCTAAGAACCCAGAGAGGTTCACACAACTCTGCCTGCAGCATGCTTATAGATGAGCTATGTACGCAGGCTGGGGGTGGGGTGGGGAAGGAAGTGAAGGTACAGAAACAGCTTCATTACCTACAGGTTGGCACTGGCCTTATGTGCGCATGGTTTGTTAGGTGGCAGACTCTGACTGAAGGTCAGCTGCTGTGATTGGCTGAAACTCAGTTTCTGGTTGTTCAATTTCTTTTTTTTTAGACAAAAGTATACTAATGGTGGGCTTAGTGATTCAGCAAGTTAAGCTGCTACTTGGGTCACCTTCTTCTGTGCCAATTACTCTATGCTTTCATCCAGCTTCCTGCTAATGCACCTCAGGGAGCAATGGATGTTGGCTCCAGTGCTTGGGTTCCTGCCACCCACAAGGAAGAGCTAGGTGGAGTTCCTGGCTTCAGCCAGGTCTAGCCTGGTTATGGTCATATGGGGAAAGAATCAGGAGGATGCAAATATATTTACCTCTCCCCTCTGTCACTCTGCCTTTCAAATATATAAATACATCTCTGAGTGGTAGACTTACAGACATAGAGAGGGAAAGACAAAGAGAAAGATCTTTTATCTGCTACTTCACTCCCCAGTTGGCTACAATGATTGGAGATGGGCAGATCAAAGCCAAGAGCTTCCTCCGGGTCTCACACGTGGGTGCAGGGGCCAAAGCATTTGTGCCATTCTCCACTGCATTCCTACTCCATTAGCAGGGAGCTGGATCAGCAGTGGACTCGCATCAGCACCCATAAGGGATGCTGGTACTGCAGGTAGAGGCTTAACCTACTACATTACGCCACAGCACCGGCCCCATCAAATACATAAATAAATATTAATGTAAAAAAAAAGGATTCTCCCAAGTTAGGCTTTCAGTCTTTAAGTTTGTTTACCAAAATAGGTTACAGTTCCTTCCTAAGACTCCAGGTATGGAGTCAACTTCAGGCCGAATTGTTTAATTAAACAATAGGAATTTAACAACCAAAATACTTCATATGCAAACCAAGATGAGTATATTATGCTATTTTCTTAAGGAGATTTTACTAGTTCAAAGGTTTTCTAACTTCCATTTTTTATTTTTATTAAGACAAAAGGCCCAAAAAATCAGACATAAAGTACACGAATTCCAACCAAACTACATAAAATGATTTGGAAATGGTCATTGTAGAATAACTTAGATAAAATACTTTGTGTGAGTTTGCTCTCAGGATAGATAGTTAAAGCATGGCTACTGTTGCCTCCAGTCCACTTTTTGTAATCCCTGGAAATTCATGTATTGATCCATTCCAACTCAACTCATCCTGTAAGATATGGCATGTAAGATGATAGCATAAGCAGAAAAACTAACATCGAAAACTTAAGTACTGCAAATAATTTCGACCAAGATATTTCATTAAGGACTAAGTCAATGTCAATTAAATTGTAATCCTTGAGCCACAGCATCACTATGCTACACAGTGTCCCAGGGGAATTCTATGGAATTATCTACGGAAGGGAACCACTGGAGCTGGGGGATGCCAGTCCTTTTCCAACACTTCAGCTCTATTTTTGGCCACTCCTGGGATTTCTGAAGACTTGTTCTTGGATAATTTGCAATAAATGTGGGGTCCTCTTATCACTGAAAATTTCCAGAGATAAAATATAACATTCATATAGATATGTTTAGAACTAACGAAGCAAACGACAGCAAATTTAATGTTTAATTAGGGCCTCATTCCACTTGGACACTTACATTACTCAGAAATATAAAACAAGTAGGAATTCAAGGGAAAATATTCATGTGATTCATTTTTCTTTTAAATGAGAAAGTCAAGGCAATAAAGGACTCAAATTCTGCCTAGCGCTGCAGAAATCAATTTCCTACTAGTTACATGGATAAGCCTGCTTCATCCCCTATCGTACCAGCTGTGACTACACAAAACGATCACTTCTGACCACACTGACCTCAATACGAATGATAAGCAGGCCACAATTTACATTTGATGGTCTCAAACATAACAAAGGATCACAAACTGTCACTACATTCATTAGAAATTAAAACAGACTTGTAATCATACTATATGAATATTTTCTAACAACTATTTCTACTTCTAAATAAATACATCTAAACTATACATGGAATTTCAAATTCAGTTCTATTTTGAGGTTTTGAAGATGTCAAATGCCAGAATAAAAAATGTGCTTTGCTTAGAAAAAGCATTACCAACAGAAAGTATTTGATTACCAGCAGCAATCATGCTAACACAGCTAGCTATTAGTCGCGAGTTAATAAAAGAAGCTGAATATGTAGGGGAAAATCTATACAGGGAAAATTTCCTTTTTAAAATATGAAAGCCTAAGAAGTGACATCACAATCCCCCATTGCTCTGAAATCCATGAAGCTTGATCCTCGAATCTTACCCGATCTGAGTGGCCGGTGGCAGAGGCCAAAAATTTTCCTTTCTTCCAGTCCCAGATGCAGACTGTGTTTTTGGCATCCAATCCCACAGAGGCTAAACGCTAAGAAGAAGAAGAAGAAGAAGAATTTAATACCCGAACGTGAGGGAAAGATTCCCTATTACTCATGCTTTCTTTCAACAAATACTTACCAATTTTCCACTGGGGCCCAGTCATTGGATTTCTGATGAACTTAATGATTTCTCGCAATCAATCTTAAAACCCAAACTAGAAATATCACATTAGATGACATCTATGAACACATGCTGCAATATCCAAAACCAAAGAGCTGCAGTTCATGTGCCCTTCTTAAACAGAGGAGACACGTGCAAACTCCGAAGTCTCAGGTACGTGAGTCCAAGTTGTAGAAACAGAACTTGAAGGCAGATATTTTTGTTCAATGAAGACATTTTAATTTTTTATTTTTGTTTTTAAAATGGAAGATACAAAGGAGGGGGGAGGAAGAGAGAGAGAGAGAAGAAGAGAGAGAATGAATATATGACAGAGACCCTTCAATCTGATGATGTCCTCCCTCAGTGTCCATAATGGCTGGGGTTGGACTAATTGGAAGCCAAGAGCCTGGAACTCAATCCAGGTCCACCACATGGGTTGACAGGAACCCAAGCACTTGATATCACCTGCTGCTCACCTAGGGTGTGCATTAGCAGGAAGCTGGAATGGAGTGTGCAGCTGGGACTTAAACCCAGGCACTCTGAGATGAGATGCAAGCATCCCAAGCAGCTTCCTAACCACTGCTCCAAATGCCTGACCCATTTCTCCTTTCAAAAATATGTATGCAGCAGAACCATGCTGTGGCGTAGTGGGTTAAGTCTCTGCCTGTGGCATGGGCAACCTATATGGGCAGCTGGGTAGTCCCAGCTGTTCCCTCTTCCAATCCATCTTTCTGCTATGGCCTGGGAAAGCCGTAGAAGATGGCCCAAGTGCTTGGGCTCCTGCCCTCACATAGAAGATCTGGAAGAAGCTCCTGACTTCGGATCAGCCCAGCTCCGTCTGATGTGACCATTTGGGGAGTGAACCAGCAGATGGAAGACCTTTCTCTGTCTCTCCCTCTCTCCTTAACTCTACCTCTCAAATAAATAAAATATGTTTAAAAATGTATCTATCTATTTGAAAGACAGAGAAGGAACTCTTCTATGGGTTGGTTCACTGTCCAAATGCCAGCAACATCCAGGGACTAGGCCTAGCTGAACCCAGGAGCCTGGGACTCAGTCTGGGTCTCCCACATGGGTAGCAGGAAATCAGATAATTGAGCCAGCCCCTGCTGCCTCCCAGGGTCTATATTTGCAAGAAACTAGAATTACAAATGGAGGCAGGACCCAAACCCAGATATGGGACATGGGCATCTCACATAGGAACTTTAACTGTTGTGCCAAATACCTGCCCCAATCCAGAGTTTTGAATTAACTTAAATTTATTTAAAACCTTAATGTGAGATTTAAGAGAGCCTAGGTTCCTGTAGCTGAAAGCTTCAAACTGCTAAACGTAAAAGGTTTGACAAAGCCAGAGACAAACATCCAAAAAAGGACTGTTTCATTCCTCTGTATCTTCTAAAATTTCACAAACACATAACAGCAGCTAAAGAAGAACTTTTAATTAAGTAATCCAATACTTCATCTCTCCATCTGAATCCTCTGGGTTCAGTCCAGAACTTGTCCTCAAAGGGAAAAGGAAATTCAACACATAATTATAAACTAAATCAAAAATGTCATAAACAGGTATTAGAACACCAACATCCAGGTTCTTGCAGGATACCACTCGTAAGCAGAACGCACTGTGTAACAGAGGTCTGGACTGGGAGTCAGTAGACTTGGCTTCTCTTTTGATTTTGTAATTACCCAAATGTAAGAGTTTTGAAAAATAAATCAATGCTTTTAAACCCCAGTTTCCTCCATTTGCAAAGTGAATTTAAAAATATTTGTTCTCTATACCTTGGAGAATTGCTGCATGGGTCAAGTGAAATGATACAAATCAAAGGGGTTTGAACCCAAGTATAAGTGTGGGGAGCAACTCGGACTAGACTAAGTTACTGGAATTAAGACTTATTCTATGCATCTGCTCTCCCACAATATGGCGCTGGGAGAGGAGGAAACAGCTTCTACGCAGCTGCCTCTCGCCAATTTGATTGACTGAGCTGCAGGAGCTGATCTTGCTCCTGATTGGACGAGAGCAGCGTACTCGGCGTGTGGGTAGCAGAGTTGGGATTGGTGGAAGAGGACTATAAAGGAGGAGAGAGACAACATGCACAAGGAACATCTAAGGAGGAACATCTAAGGGAAACACCTGTGCAGCCCCCGAGAGAGCCGGCTGGTGGTGTGCCGCTCCCCCACGGAAGTGGGGAAAGTGGCTAGGGTGAACCGCCCTTCCACGGAGGTGGAAGGGACGGCAGCCAACCCGGGAAGAACCAGCAGCAAACCCGGGGAGGGCCGAGCAGACGAAAGAACAGCGCAGGGTCCTGTGTCGTTCCTCCACGAAGAGGGGGAGTGACATATAAGAGTACCAGAAGTTATGTACTTAGCATGTTTGAGAGTATATGTATGTGTACACGTGTGTACAATACATGTATGTACTCACACAATGTATATGGAAGTCACTTATGACTAAATCTGTACATGTATACCAATGCAGTAATTATTCAATTTCTTCACGAATGCAGGCTTCTATTAGGAGAATACTTAACTATAGAAAACATAGTTGCTGTGGCCATTTCTTTGTGGTTTTGCAGGTGAAGCCGCTGTCTCTGGCGTTGGCATCCCATATGGGCGCCAGTTCAGAGTTCTAGTTGCCCCACTTCTAATCCAGCTCCCTGCTCATGTGCCTGGGAAAGCGGCAGAGGATGTCTCAAGTCCTTGGGCCCCTGAACCCACATGGGAGACTCAGAAGAGGCTTCAGGCTCCGGATTGGCCCAGCTCCCGCAAGGAGACCCTGGCTACTACACCCAGTTCTAGATCCTGGCCCCTGCAATGCAGACCCTAGGAAGCAGCAGTATTGACTCAAGTGACTGAATCGCTGCCACCCTTGGGTGAGATCTGATTTGTGATTCCAGCTCCTGGCTTTGGCCTGGCCCAGCCACTGCTGTAGCAGGCAGTTGGGGAGCAAATCAGCAAATAGGGGTGTGCTTGCTTTCTCCCTCTCAACCACTCTCTCCCTCCTTCTCAATTTCACTCTCTCTCCTTATCTCACACAAAGTTTAAAAAAAAAAAGATTTTACATAATTGGAGGTTTCAAAATGTGATCTTAAAGAAAGGAAGGTTTTGCTTTAATTTTTAATGAGGATTCCAGCAATGAAAAAGAAATGATTAACAGGATATGGCAGGTTTTTTCCCATATAGGAAAACTTGAATGGGTGAATTCTGTTCATTTTTTAATAGAAAAGTAAACATGAGCACTGAAATGAAACCCCTATTTCTTGACTGAGGAAAGGCCCAAAGAAATTTACTTTATTCATTTACAATGACAGGCCCCACAGCTCCCTGAATAGCATTTCTATTGCTGTTTTTTTTTAATTTGAGGCAACGGGCCAATGTTATTTTCTAAATATCTTTCGATTCCGGTGAACTATGTCTGGGGAGCAAGGTAGACCTGAAGCATTAGGCATCAACATGAAATCCATCATGGCAAAATATGGGTTATTTTCTCAGCTGACAATTAGGTACTATGCAGTCCTCCCCTATCCTACATGAGAAGAGCTAGGATTCCCACATGAAATATCAAGGGCAAAGAACTGAGAGTACAGCTGCGGTTCCCTCTATCGCCTCCTGACACTTCAGAACACATTTTGATGAAGACGTTTGCTCAAATAACAGAATCAGAACAGAGAAAGTACATCTGAGCACATATGTAACCACACATTTGCATTTGTATATGCACATGCATCCTGACACTCTCATTCCATTTAATCAAGAAGTCAATACCACTGTAAGTTTCAGCAAATATCACTAATACACCTATTTCTCCTGAGATGTGGATATACAATGGAATATATGCATTATTCTGGCTGAAGTGGATGAGATTACAGCCTATAAAAACATACTAGGGATCTGCATAAATATTAAATCTAGCTCTAGAAAGAAAAATGAATAATGATCAATGTCCTCAACACTATCTGGCATTTTTTTGCTTTTTTTTTTTTTTTTTTCCTGACAGGCAGAGTGGACAGTGAGAGAGAGAGACAGAGAGAAAGGTCTTCCTTTTGCCGTTGGTTCACCCTCCAATGGCCGCCGCAGCCGGCGCACAGCACTGATCCGATGGCAGGAGCCAGGAGCCAGGAGCCAGGTGCTTTTCCTGGTCTCCCATGGGGTGCAGGGCCCAAGCACCTGGGCCATCCTCCACTGCACTCCCTGGCCACAGCAGAGAGCTGGCCTAGAAGAGGGGCAACCGGGACAGAATCTGGCGCCCCGACCGGGACTAGAACCCGGTGTGCCGGCGCCGCTAGGCAGAGGATTAGCCTAGTGAGCCGCGGCGCCGGCCCTGCTAATTTTTTTAAGTTCAATTTAATTTTATTTATTTGAAAGAGTTACAGATAGAGGTAGAGCCAGAAAGTGAGAGAGGTCTTCCATCTGCTGATTCACTCCTCAAATGGCCGCAACGGCCAGAGCTGAGCTGATCCAAAGCCAGGAGCTTCTTCCAAGTCTCCCACATGGCTGCAGAGGCCCAAGCATTTGTGCCATCTTCCACTGCTTTTGCAGGCCATAGCAGAGAGCTGGGTTGGAAGTAGTGCAGATGGAACTCGAACCAGCACCCATAGGGGATGCCGGTACTGCAGATCGGGGCTTTAACCCACTGTGCTACAGTGCCAGCACCGCTTATTGCCTTTTTTAAAACTTGTATTTAATAAATATAAATTTCCAAAGTACAACTTTTGGATTATAGTGGCTTTTTCCCCCATAACCTCCCTCCCACCTGCAACCATCCTATCTCCCGCCCCCATCCCATTCACATCAAGATTCATTTTCAATTATCTTTATATACAGAAGATCATTTTAGTATATATTAAGATTAACAGTTTGCACCCACACAGAAACACAAAGTATAAAGTACTGTTTGAGTACTAGTTACACCATTAATTCACATAGTACAACACATTAAGGACAGAGATCCTACATGGGGAGTAAGTTCTCAGTGCTCCTGTTGTTGATTTAACAATGGACACTCTTATTTATGGCATCAGTAATCACCGGAGGCTCTTGTCATGAGTTGCCAAGGCTATGGAAGCCTCTTGAGTTTGCCAACTCCAAATGGACACTATGAGAAACAACGACCTGATCAGCCCTTGTCCTGTCGAGGAACAACTTAATACTTTATCCCGTTTAGTATTTTTTTTTTGTTCTACTTAATACTACTGGTTGAACTCTTTAATTAACACACAGTTATTCTTAGGTGTTTATTTTTTTTATTTTTTATTTTATTTTTTATTTTTTGACAGGCAGAGTGGACAGTGAGAGAGAGAGACAGAGAGAAAGGTCTTCCTTTGCCGTTGGTTCACCCTCCAATGGCCGCCGCAGCCGGCGCCCTGCGGCCGGCGCACCGCGCTGATCCGATGGCAGGAGCCAGGAGCCAGGTGCTTTTCCTGGTCTCCCATGGGGTGCAGGGCCCAAGCACCTGGGCCATCCTCCACTGCACTCCCTGGCCACAGCAGAGAGCTGGCCTGGAAGAAGGGCAACCGGGACAGAATCCGGCGCCCCAACCGGGACTAGAACCCGGTGTGCCGGCGCCGCTAGGCGGAGGATTAGCCTAGTGAGCCGCGGCGCCGGCCAGGTGTTTAAATTTATATGAAAAGTGGTCCCTGTTAAATATAAGAGTAGGAATAAGAGAGGAGATGTACAATTCGGCACATGCTCAATCGGACTTATCCCTAACAGCAGAATTAGAAATGTACCAGGGGATTGCAATTCAATCCCATCAAGGTGGCATGTACCAATGCCATTTCACTAGTCCAAGTGATCAGTTTCAGTTCACAATTGATCATAATGATAGGATTAAGAGTCAAAGGGATCACATAAACAAGACTAATTTCTGCTAATACTAACTGATAGAATTAAAAAGGGAGAGAATGATCCAACATGGGAAGTGGGATACAGAGCAGACTCATAGAATGGGAGATGTCCTAAACAGCACTCTGGCCTCAGAATCAGCCCTTAAGACATAAGGATCCTGCTAAAAAGCCCATGAGAGTATTATAGGCATGGAAAGCCAAGACACTCTGGCAAAAAAAAAAAAAAAAAAATATGACCTAAATGAAAGATCTCTGTGAGTGAGACCCAGTTGGTAAGAATGGGCCATGAAAGAAGGAGGTACCTTTCTCTGAAGGGAGGAGAGAACTTCTACTTTGACTATGACCTTGTCTAAATAAGAAGGGAGTTGGTGCTAATTGCTTTTTCAAAATGATTCAAGACAGATCAATTCATTATAACCCACAGAATTTCCCAAACTCTCAGGACAGTTAAACCTCTATGAATAACTTCTCAGAACTTTCAATGGTACTAAATTCTCAGAACTTTCAATGGTACTAACTCAGAGAATTTTGAAATATGTCAAAAATTGGACTGAAAGAGTTAAGTGACTGATATATGGAGAATGAGACAGAAGGCTGTTATTGGGAGAAAAGTGTTAGTCATAGCAAGGAGGGGAACATAGCAAGAGGCAGAAATAACCCATTTCCATACCCTTTTCTAGTATATACTAACATATCTTTTCTGTAGGTCAAAGGAGAAAAAACTTTGGGGATTGGGAAGGCTCCATGACGACTTTAGAAATGTCTTCAAAGAAGGAGTCACTTCAAGGGCCAAGAGAGCCAGTAGGGAGCTTCAGGCGAGGGGCATAGCAATACGCAGGGCATGGATATGAAAAGGGCAAGGTCTGGAAGTGGAATCTGAGTGGTCCAATCTGACTACATGGGAACAGTGGCAATAAGGCTAGAAAAGTTGGTTAGCCTAGAACACCCACTTAAAAAGTATAGACTCAGGGGCCAGTGCTGTGGTGTAGCGGGTAAAGCCACCACCTGCAGTGCCAGCAGGTGCTCTACTTCTGATCTAGCTCTCTGCTATGGTCTGGGAAAGCAGCGGAGGATGACCCAAGTCCTTGGGCCTCTGTACCCACATGGGAGGCCGGAAGGAAGCTACTGGCTTTGGATCGGTGCAGCTCTGGCCATTGCAGTCATCTGTGGAGCAAACAAGAAGATGGAAGACCTCTCTCTCTGTAACTCTGTCTTTCAAATAAATAAATAAACCAATCTTTTAAGTATAGACTTCAGTCAACAGTACCCTAAGCTTTCATTGATTTTAAACAATGCTTTGACAATGTTTTCAGTTGGTGAAATGCATTACCAAGACACTGACATTGACTGAAGGGATACTAGTTAAGAGGCTAAGTCAGACATGGCACCAACTTGGAAATTAAAGGATGGTGGCAGGGAGAATAAGGAGAACCTGAATGTAAGCGGTATTGTGAAGACACTTAAAAACACACAAGAATTGGTGATTACTTGTATTGGGAACGGGTAGGGCAAAGGAGTTAGAATTGACCTCAAGGCAAAGGGTCGAAAAGAATGTTCCCAGTTCTCAGCAATTATTAGGTGGTGCTACTTCCTTCTGAAAGCAAGGGGTTTTAATGTAAAGTTCAAGTTTGTGCAAAAGGCTTGATCCCGCCCTTATTCCAAATAGGAAGCTAACAATGAAAGACAAAGTAGAACTGCTGAGCCACAGCAGACTTGACTGCATGAATTCACAACTTTTATGGAGGTTTTTGTTTTTCTGGCTTTTTGTTTGTTTTTAACAAGATGGTTTCATGGAAGGAACCAAAGCTGGGGCCTATCCTGAGCTGGATGTTAGTGCTGCCAGCCTGGAAAAAGATCACAGAGGTAAGGAATCCTAGAAGGCTGCCCAGGGAGAAGCTAAGGTCGATGGGCTTTCTGAGGCTATGGGCTATTTACACTGTAATTTTAGGTGAACTTTGAGAGCCACCAAATAGAACAGAAATGGAAAAAGATACACACCTGACCATCCGAGTCGAAAGCCAGGCAGGCTACTCCATGTGTGTGGACATCTTTAAGAATAGACACAGTCTGGACATTATAGGAATCCCATATGCAGATATATGGCTCCTTCCCAACTTGACCAGTCGCAATCAGGGTTTTATCTGGGTGTAAGGCAAGGCTGAAAGAGAAAAAGGCTTCTTTTCACTTACTCCAGTTCAACAAAGAAAAACACTGATCATATTTTATCCAAATTTGTTTCTTAAATTATCTACAAAGATGATCTCTAGAGAAAGAGGCTGACTGTTCCCTTAAGTAGTAATTACCTAATTGGTCTAAATCAAAATGTTCAACTAAACCAAATGTTTAACAAGACAGGCTTAGCACAGTTTGACAACAATTTCAACTGATCTTAGTTATCTTGAAAATCAGACACTATTCTAACTTTACTTCTCTGATAAGAAAATCTATGATTTTATAACTGCTTTATGTCATGGGATATACTTACTGATTTTGAAAACGTTATTCAGCCCTCAAGCCAGCTTTGGACTTTGAGAAAAAAAATGCAGTTGCTAGGCCAAACTTCACTTCTCAGAATTAATTAAACCTACTTGCAAAAGCACTGGTTAATATTCTCTTTAGATTTCAAAATATGGACAGGTCTCAGAGTCAAGCACTGTTTCTGTATCTGTTGTCACAGATTACACATTATAAATGAAAATTTCTATTTATATAAATCACAGTGACACCAACAGAACTGCAAATTACTATGTTTGTGATTCATGTAGCAATTTTTTCTGTAGTCCAATCAAAATAAAAATTTGCCAAATACCAGCTAACATTTAAAGGAGTCTATAGAAGTCAAGAGGGTTATCATTATTCCTAGATGAGAAATCACTATGATGTTTTAAATTTATTGTAAAAGAATATGGGCCTTTCTAAAAATGTGTGGTAGAAATTTAAAATAAAACCATGCTTTTCTACATGGAAAACTAGCAGACAACTATTTATATAATAAACGGAAGTAGAATCTTCTGCAACTTCCATTTGCAGCATGTCCACAATACACAGAAGAAGATATTTTCCTTTTCCAATTTTCACTATGATATTATGAGTATACGCTCTGGAATCAGATATCTGGATCTACAAATTGACTGTCCCTTACTACTTTGGTTCTTTGTACAAATTATTTGACCTCTGTTGATTCTGTCTCTTTATCTATAAATTGGGGTTAATATATCAAAAACAGATGAAATAATGAATAGAGAGCAATTAGCTCATGGTTAACACTCAATATAGATATCATTGTTATCATCATTTGTGTAGCTTGTGTTATGCAGATGCAACCAACACATGCATGGCTGTGGGGATACAGTGCACCTTTCAAAAATAACACTTGCAACCTTATTATGCAACAAAGGATTAATATCCAGTATATACCAAGAACTGAAAAAAAAACAGTTTTTTTTTTTTAATAAAGAGTATAGGACATGAACAGACAGTTCTCCAAAGAAGAAATTACAAATGGCCATCAAATATATGAAAAACACTCAACATCACTAGCCATCAGGGGAATGCATATCAAAACCACAGTGAGGTATCACCTCATCCTGTCAGCATGGCTATTATCCCAAAGACAGAAAGTAACAAATGTTGGTGAGGTTTGGAGAAAATAGAACTTTATATACACTATTGGTGGGAATGTAAATTAGCCTAGCCACTGTGGAAAATAGTGTGGAGCTTTCTTTAAAAAACTGGAAACAGAACTGCCATGTGATTCAGCAATCCCACCACTGGGTACATATCCACAAGACATGAAATTAGTGTATCAGAAGGATACCCACTCCAGCGTGTTTATTGCAGCATTGTTTACAACAGCCAAGATATGGGATTAACCAAGATGCCTGTTATCCGATGAGTGAGCAGAGACAATGTAGTACCAAATAGCTATAGCAATATTAAAAATAAAACTGGAGGCATCACAATACCAGATTTCAAGACATACTACTGGGTAGTTAAATCAAAACAGCATGGTGCTGGCACAAAAATAGGCATGTAGACCAATAGAACAGAATAGCAACCCCAGAAATTAATCCACATAGCTATAACCAACTGATCTGTGACAAACTAGATAAAACAGTCCCTGGAGAAAGGACAGTCTCTTCAAACGCTGTTGGGAAAATAGGATGCATATATGCAGAAATGTGAAACAAGACTCCTACCTTACACCTTACACAAAAATCAACTTAGAACAGATCAAGGATCTAAATCTATGATCTGATACCATCAAAATACTACAGGAAAACATCAGGGAAATTCTCCAAGACATTGGTATAGGCAAAGACTTCTTGGAAAAGACCCCAGAAGCACAGGCAATAAATAGACAAAAGAGATTACATCAAGCTAAAAAGCTTATGTACTACAAAGGAAGCACTCATCAAAGTGAAGAGGCAGCTGACAGAATGGGAGACAATATGTGCAAGCTATGAGACTGATAAAGGATTAATAGCCAGGATCTTTAAAGAGCTCAAAAAACTAAACAATTAAACAAACAATCCAGGTAAGAAATGAGCAAAGGGGGCCAGCATTGTGGTGCAGCAGGTTAATGCCCTGGCCTGTAGCACCAGCATCCCATATGGGTGCCAGTTCGAAACCCGGCTGCTCCACTTCCATCCAGCTCTCTGCTACAGCCTGGGAAAGCAGTACAAGATGGCCCAGGTCCTTGGGCCCCTGCACCCTCATGGGAGACTCAGAAGAAGCTCCTGGCTTCAGATCAGCATATCTCCAGCCATTGCAGCCAATTGGGGAGTAAATCATTGGATGGAAGACCTCTCTCTCCCTGCCTCTCCTCTCTCTGTGTAACTCTGACTTTCAAATAAATAAATAAATCTTAAAAAAAAGAAATGGGCAAATGACATGAACTAGCATTTTTTTTTCAGGAGATTCAAATGGCCAACAGACACATGAAAAATGCTGAGGATCACTAACCATCAGGAAAATGCAAATAAAAACGACAATGAGGTTTTACTTCACCCCAGTTAGAATTGCTATCATCCAAAAGTCTAGAAATAATGCTGGTGATGAGTAAAAGGTACCCTGATACACTGTGGGTAAGAATGTAAACCAGTGCAACCATTATGGAAGACAGTATGGAGATACCTCAAAAAGCTGAAAATAGCTCTGCCATATGACCCAGCCTTACCCTTCCTGGGAATTTACCCAAACAAAGTGAAATCAGCATATGAAACAGTAATTTGTACCCCCATGGTTATTGTAGCTCAATTCACAAAGCTAAGATATGGAATAAATCCAGATGTCCATCAACTTATGACTAGATAGAGAAAATGTGGTATATATACACTTTGGAATACTATTCAGCCATCAAAAAATGAAATCCTGTCTTACAACAAAATGGAGGCAACTGGAAACCATTATGTTTAGTGAAATAAATTAGTCCCCAAAGATATTTTTTTAAAAAATATTTATTTATTTGAAAGGCAGAGTTACAGAGGTGAGGCGAGGCCAGTCCTTCCATTTGCTAATTTACTGCCCAAATGGCTGCAACGGCCGGAGCTGGGCTGATCTGAAACCAGGAGCCTGGAGCTTTTTTCAGGTCTTCCACACAGGTGCAGGGGCCCAAGGATTTGGGCCATCTTCTACTGCTTTCCCAGGCCCACAGCAGAGAGCTGGATCAGAAGTGGAGCAGCAGGGACCTGAACCGGTGCCCATATGGGATGCTGGCACTATAGGTAGGAGCTTTTTACCCACTACACCATAGTACCAGCCCCAAAACAAATATCTTACATTTTCTGATATGTGGTAATTAATATTGGATACAAAAAATGAATAGAGAAGAATGGACATTTTGTTAAGTTGTTTTTGGCTCTTGCTTATACTCCTGTGGAACTGTCATACTGTCATCTTTCTACTTTTTACTTGTTGAATGTTACGCTTAGTCTTGCATTCAGCCTGTGATAATGGTGTGGATTAAAATCATGTTTTTGCAAAAAACAAGAAAGAAAAAGAGAAGGAGGGGGATTGAGGGAGGGAGAGTGGTGGGGAGGGAAGTATGGTTATCTTCTTAGAATTGTACATATGACTTCCATGAACTCTGTTCTGTTTATATTAATAAAATTATTTTTTTTTTTTTGACAGGCAGAGTGGATAGTGAGAGAGAGAGACAGAGAGAAAGGTCTTGCTTTTGCCGTTGGTTCACCCTCCAATGGCCGCCACGGCTGGCACGCTGCGGCCGGTGCACCGCGCTGATCTGAAGGCAGGAGCCAGGTGCTTCTCCTTGTCTCCCATGGGGTACAGGGCCCAAGCACTTGGGCCATCCTCCACTGCCTTCCTGGGCCACAGCAAAGAGCTGGCCTGGAAGAGGGGCAACTGGGAAAGAATCCGGCGCCCCGACCAGGACTAGAACCTGGTGTGCCGGCAGCCGCTAGGTGGAGGATTAGCCTAGTGAGCCGCGGCACCGCCCTATACTAATAAAATTCTTAATGTGGTATATATATAAAATGAAATACTATTCAGTCAGAAAAAGAATGAAATCCTGTCATTTGCAGCAAAATGAATGAAACTGGAAGACATGACGTTGAATCAAACAAGCCAGAAACATGTAGACAAATGTTCTCCTTTATACAGTGGGAGCTAATAAAAGAAACTAGCTAGTATGAACATAAAATGTTGATTGCTAGATGCTAGGAATAGAAACAAAAATTGGAATCAGGCATGGTTCATTAAGTGTGACAAATATACTAACATGGAATCTTTTTTTTTTTTTTTTTTTTTTTTTTTTGACAGGCAGAGTGGACAGTGAGAGAGACAGAGAGAAAGGTCTTACTTTTGCTGTTGGTTCACCCTCCAATGGCCGCCACGGCTGGCGCGCTGCGGCCGGCACACCACACTGATCCGAAGGCAGGAGCCAGGTGCTTCTCCTGGTCTCCCATGGGGTGCAGGGCCCAAGCACTTGGGCCATCCTCCACTGCACTCCCGGGCCACAGCAGAGAGCTGGCCTGGAAGAGGGCAACCGGGACAGAATCCGGTGCCCCGACCAGGACTAGAACCCGGTGTGCCAGCGCCGCTAGGTGGAAGACTAGCCTAGTGAGCCTCAGCGCCGGCCAACATGGAATCTTAATAGGGGCAGACAGGTGTGGGCTACATGCGGACTCTTCATAATTT